CAAGGCAGTGGACCAGACGACAGCGCCGGCAAGGCATTTGTGCCAGGCTTGCCGGCGGCAGTGTTACAGGCGTCGCAGGGTACTTTATACGGCAAGCCGATCATGGCAAAGCTAGGTAATGAGTCAGCTAAGTGAGTGATCGAATGACTTTGGAAGGGGCTGTTGGAGGTCGAGGCGCTTTCAAGAGGTGAATTTTGGGTGCCAACGATGGCCGAATTTTCTTGCTGGCTTTGAGGTCTCAATCGGGAGGTTGTGGCAATGAGCTTGATCAGGCAATGCTAAGTCATTACTCCCTTGTCTTCCCTTTCAACTCGTCCATCAGAGCCGAGCTCGGCAGGGCAACGTGGAAATTTCTGCACACCATGACACTGCGCTTCCCAGATGAGCCAAGCGCATCAGATAGAGAGGCATTGCTGAGTTTCTTCCATCTCTTCAGTCGGCTATACCCTTGCGGTGAGTTTCTCGTCCTGAGGCTCGGACCGGCGCAGCGACGCTGACAGCTTCTTTGATGTCCGACAGGGGAATGCGCGGAGCATTTTCAGCAGCTCTTGAGAGACTTGCCTCCTCAAACGAGCTCAAGGTTGGCAGCGGCGGGTTGGCTCTGTGCGGCTCACAATCGGGTCAACGCAAGATTAGGCAAGGCGGAATTTCCCTGCGACAAGGTCAGCATCGCGCAGCGATATCAAAGGCTTGCGACAATTTGAAATTTGTATGCTATTGCGTTGCACGCTGACGTTTCATCTCGTCTATTGTTTTGTAGCTCGACGAGACATACGACTGCGGGTGCGGTGCTCCCAAAAAGACATCCAAAGTTCCGCCTACCCTGATACATCCAGGGAAAGCGGACGCGAAGGCCAATCACTCGCAAGCAAGCGAAGACTGGGGCGAAGGCGGAAAGGATTACGTTCCGCACAGAGGCGGTCGACCTTTGGGGGGCTGATAGCCAACCGAGCGGCCTCTTGTGGTCAGTGGTGTCTGCTCACTGATCTTCAACTCAGCATACCTCTGTTTGTCTCAGCATCTTGATT